ACAGATAAACATGCTCCCAAAATCATGTTCAAAATGTTCTACACATTGCCTGATTGGAAACATTAACAAAATATAAAAGTTGACAATGTTTCCTCTTGTGTGTTGTGTGTGCACACACATGAGAACACACTCACACACACAAGTATACAATATAGCTAAGAATTGCTTTGCTGCAGGAAACAGAGCGTTTGATCAAATTCAGAAAGGTTAGAGTGACTGTTCAAGATCAAACTCTGGCATCATGGAGGCCACAAAAAGACCCAGTTCTTTGGGTTTTGTATCACCTGTTGTTGATCTGAGCCTTATAGAGTTTTGTAAAACCATGAAGAGCGTTTGCAGATTCTCTGTCATTATCACAGTTGATAGAATTTCCACAGAATTCGCTCTTCATTTCCTGTTGAATTTTCATTATCTTACCATCATCTGTTTTATCCCCTCATTTGTTTTTATTATATATTTTACCCTGCTGGGAAATGTTTGTCCAGTGTTAGGACATGCTTTTTAGCACTTGTATTTCTGCTATCTAATTTCAGGATTTCTATAAAGGATGATCTTAAGAGTTGAGTTGGAGGGAAGATTTGAACTAGAGTTACATTTCTACAAAGTAAGAAAATGCCAATTGTCCATATCAAGGGGCATCTGGGTGGCTCAGTCGGTTAAGTGTCTGACTTTGGCTCAGGTCACGATCTCATAGTTGGTGAGTTTAAGCCCCACGTCGGGTTCTGTGCTGACAGTTCAGAGCCTGGAGCCTGCTTTGGATTCTGTGTCTCCCTCTCTGTCTGTCCCTCTTCCACTCGCACTCTTTCTCTTACTGTCTCTTGAAAATAAATAAACATTAAAAAAAATTTTTTTAAAGGGATGGGGGTTGCAGATGGAGATTATGGGGACCAAAGTTCTCCCTGCTCCACAACCATGCCTGGGCACCATGACTTCATCCTGGAGAATCTTTATTCCAAAGACAGCGATTCCCCAGCTTTATTCTGTCTGTTCCTTTGAACAACACTGTCACAAGCTCGTTTTTATATTGTCACAATGAATGGAGAGAATAACAGATTTGGTATCAGATCAGTTAACTGTGAGACTTTGGATAAGTTACTTAGCTCCTTTGATGGAGAATAATGATAGATCTTTACTGAGTTATGATAAAAATTATGCAAGATCACATCTAGGAATGGCTCTTTTATGGTGAGGGCTCAAGAAACGCTTAATTCCATTCTTACAGTTAATGGGGGGAGGTTAAATGGGCAAGTTCTGAAGTCACACAGCTGGGTTCAAATCCCCATTTCTTCTTTTTTCCAATTGTGTTGAAACTTTTGGCAAGTCCCTTCTCTGAGTCTCCATTACCATGTCTGCAAATGAAAGGTAAGATGGGACCTGATATATTGCGGAGATTAAATGAGATAGTGCATATCCAGCCTTTGGTATGTTGCAAACACTAAAGAAATGGTAGTTTTCATCAGCTTCGTTATCAGATACAAGTTTCTCTTTTCATATCCAGTCTTGTATTTTCCAGTATAAGCCCACAAACCCTGATCTGAAACCCTTGAGGCCATGTGTGTTTTGGAATTTGGAATGCTATGGAAATTAGACTCATAATGTGATGTATATACCATACACCCCCCCCCATAAAGCACACACACACACACACGCCAGCAGTGTCTGCGATAACACTTCATGATCAGCTCATTACTGCAGTGAAATGTTTGCATGTTCATGCTAAGTAGGATGTGGGATAAATAAAGGATATAAATAACCCTATGTCAGCTCAAGTCCACTTTGGCTGCCAAATGAACTTGTGCCAAAGTGAATGAAAAAAATTTCTGGAACCTGAAACTTTTTTGGAATTCAGATACCTGTGTAGTCACTCTTGGTTTTTTTCCTCCCCTTCTGTGTTGTAAAGCTATTTCTATCACCTGTTTCTAGTCTAAGCTGTGCTTCTCTTACATTTCTGTGTTTTTATTTAATCCTTCAAGGCTTCCTTTGAACTCTCAGCCCTCCTGCCTTGACATCCTGTGTTTTCTTTCTCCCTCTTATCTCTGTCTCTATTCTTTCCCTCCTCTTGGATCGCTCCTCCTTTTTCTGGGGTTTGCACACTACTGGAGTAAAGCCCATTTTCACTTTCTTTGTTTCTTTTTTCTTTCTGGTACATTCTCTCTCATTCCCCCTTCCTCTCCTCTGCTGGGGACTTCAGTCTTGCTTCTGCGATGCCAGCTCTTCGCCTCTTTTCTTGTGTATCTATCCTCTTGTCTCTACCGTTTCCTCTCTGCCCCTTTCTTTGTTCATTGGTGGTTGCCCTTGGTTCCCACCCCAACTACCATACCATCATCCTTCTCCTTTAATTCCTTCGTCTCCTCTAGATATCATTCTTTGTCCACTCATTACTGTACAATGCCAATAATATCATTATGATAATTTATTGAGTTCTTACTGTGTACTAAGCACTTTACATGGATCGTTAAATTTCATCCTTATTGCAAACCATTAGGTGGGGACTCTCTTAATCCTCATATTTCAGATGAGAAAATTCGGGCTAAGAGATAAAGCGACTTGTTCAAGTAGTCAAGGAACAGAAATGGAATTCAAACCCCACTGCATTAAATCTTTGCATTTAATACTTGTTGCATTAAACTAATTCCAAAGCTCATGATTTCAATCACTATGCCTATATTTTCTGTATTACGGTGGATATTACCATCCAAGTTTCTTCATTTATCTTTTCTTTCTAGGTGCTTATAGTTTTTTAATGTGACTTACCTCTGCCTGCCTACTTCAGTATGCCATTTAACTTAGATGGTGTGTCCAGATTGGCCCCTTCCTATGCTTGATATCTTGGCCCTTATCTTTCCCTGGTGACACATTGGGATTTCATAACCCCAATACTTACTGGGACTTTAGGAACAGTCCCAATTTCAAATATTCCCATTCCCACAAGCCACTGAAATGTTTGGGAAATAGATGTTGGGCAACAGCAACAGCATTTGCTTTCGCTGTTACCTTCTATGTGCCTCAGAAGACACCATTCAAAGTCACATCTTGGCAAAACGGTTTCATATCATAGGCTTTGCAGCTATGTGTGAATCACTGAATCAATGATTACTATGTTAGTCAGGCGAGGCTCCACTGTGCTGCAGTAAAATAAACCCCGCATTTCTGGCTTAATACAACAAAGATGGGTGTCTCTTTCACATCACAGTCAGATGTGGTTCTGGTGGCTCTTTGTTACTTCTTGAACAGTGACTCAGAGGTCTGGGGAACTTGGGTCTTGCAACTCCACCATCTATCTCAACGTTCTTTACTTCCAGCCACTTGGGTGGGGGAGCGGATATGGCATATTCATGGACTATTACGCCCCAGACCAGTCATCGTCAACCTCATTTTTCAGATGAGGAGACATGTTCATTGCCAAGGCTTTCTACCCTAGTAAGTGGTAGATTCCAGACTAACATCACAGCTCTGACTATTGATTCCACTACATTTTTTTCTAACTAGAAATATTTCATCTATGCTTATGTTTCCTGTCTAGATTCACTTAGTCTCAGTAAGCTATTAGAGTTGCGCTTCTTTTTTCTTGGTAATTTCAACAGAGGTTCCAGGGAGATACCCCTCCCCTCCCCCCCCCCCCGCCCCCCCCGCCCATTGGTTGTGCTTGGGCCACATGTCCATCTTCAAACCAATTGCCGTAAGCCAGACAATGTGATCTTCTTTTTTCCTTTTTTTTTTTTTTCCAACGTTTTATTTATTTTTGGGACAGAGAGAGACACAGCATGAACGGGGGAAGGGCAGAGAGAGAGGGAGACACAGAATCGGAAACAGGCTCCAGGCTCTGAGCCATCAGCCCAGAGCCCGACGCGGGGCCCGAACTCACGGACCGCGAGATCGTGACCTGGCTGAAGTCGGACGCCCAACCGACTGCGCCACCCAGGCGCCCCGACAATGTGATCTTCTGATGGGTCAGATCTGTGTCCTGTATCTAACTCTAGCGTGGAGAAAATAGAAAAAGAGGGCATCTTCACCACTGCAGTATGTAGTGGGAACCATGGGGAACTATTTCCCTAAATAAATCCAGAATGCTATTACTGAAAGAAAAGGCAATAGATATCAGGCAGGCAAATCAAGGTAAGATCCAGCTAGCTGAACACCTGAATGGAGAAGGAAATATAAGACAGAATTAGTGACTAGAGAAATGAGTTAATGGGCACATGACACAGACCTGACCAGTCGGAACTCTGCATTGTCTGGGCCATCGTTACTGGTCTGAGGATTAGCAGGTGGTCCAGGCCCAACCAATGAGAGCCCTCCCTGGAGTAAATGAACAAATGATGCCTCTTTGGTGAAGGATGAGGGAATCGTTGCAAATGATGAAAAGTGAATTTAGGACAAGTTGACAGTCCAATGAAGATAAATTTTGCACATTGCATAGTTTTGCAACGGGGTTCATCTTGCTTGGGGTGTATTTTCAAGGACCCAGAACCTTTCTGGTGCAGAAATGATCCCTGTCTCCCTCTCCGCATTTGATTTCTGTCAATCCCATTGGAGTGGAACAGCCTTAGGCTGTAGCCAGCTTACCCCCACTCAAGGAATTCCATGAAGAGAAGGTGGTCCCTTCTTCCCCCTCAATGTTTACCCCTTTCCTTCAATTTCCATGGACCTCATTCTCCTCCTTAGAAAATGCTTTCCCATCAATGAGGCTGAAAAACAGCCAGGAGGCCCATCAGTACTCACTTCCGTGGGCAAAGTGACTTGTGCAGTGCTAGGCCTGAAGTTCGTTTATCTCTCCCTGAGTCAACGAGATTTTGACTATAGGCCTTTCTGCTATGTTCCTCCAGAGAGAGGTAAACTGCCTTTAAGTAATTGCTGAAGAAGGCATAAACCAGGGAAATTTGATTTGAGTATGCAATTTGAATCGGGAAATGCTCGTATAAATAACCGAAGCAGCTGAATGCGGCAGGTTTGTGCTCTATAGATTTTTTTTTTTTTTTTTTTTTTTTTTTTGGACTCAGGGTCTTCAGAATAGAAGTTTTGCTGCAGCAGCTTAAACTATCCCAGGCCTTTTTGGTCTGATCTTGTGCTAGTTTGGCATCATTAACCGCCAGTCTGGAGTTTGGTAAGTTGATGTTGCCTAATTAACCTATATGATTGGAAGGAGGGAGTGGAAATTCTTGAACCCACAAGCAGTGCTATAATCGGGAGCAGTGACACAGTCTTAAAAACCAAAACAAAACAATTTTGAACTAGGAAAGAGTTTGGATTTATCTAGCACAACTTCACCAGTGAGGGAATTAGGAGCCAGAAACGGTAAATCACTTGCTAGTGGTCACTGAGACTTTGGAAATTACATGGTCACCTTTTCCTGCAGCAACAAACAACCCCACATCCCAGAGGTGTGAGTGTTCAGCTTATATTACATCAGAGCTGCAGGTTACCCAGGATTCTCCTGAGCTGTCCTGACCTGGCCTTATTCCACATGTCTTCTCAGGGAACAGCCACCTTCTGGGGCATGTGATTCTCATGGTGGGCAAAGCTCAAGACCAAACCACAGGAGCGTGTTTATACCTCCCTTTGGAGATAGCTACTCCCTTTGGAGTGTCACATCTGCTCACATTCTATTGATCAAAACACAGGCCACCAAGCCCAAGGACAACAGGGTGGCAATGATACTCTACCTTGTGGGAAGCATGGCAAGAGAGAGCAGGATACAAATAATAGTGGATAGGGGCACCTGAATGACTCAGTCAGTTGCGCATCCAACTTCGGCTCAGGTCATGGTCTTGCAGTTCGTGGGTTCAAGCCCCGCGTCAGGCTTTGCACTGATGGTGCAGAGGCAGCTTTGAATTCTCTCTCTCCCTCGCTCTGCCGTTCCCCCACTTCCACTCTTTCTCTCTCTCAAAAACAAATATTAAAAAAATAATGATAAAATACCAGCAGATCATTGTGGATAAATAATGCAATCCACCACCAGAAATCCTTGTAGTGTAGGAAGTCCTTGCAGTGATGAAAGTCCAAGAAGAAATGTGAAAACTGAGGGGCACTTGGGTGTCTCAGTTGGTTAAGCGTCTGACTCTTGATCTCAGCTGGGGTCATGATCTCATGGTTTGTGGGACCAAACCCCGCACCAGGCTCTGCACTGATAGCACAGAACCTATGTCAGATTCTCTTGCTCCCTCTCTCTCTGCCCCTCCCCTGCTCACACTCTGTCTCAAAATTAAACATTTTTAAAAAATGTGAAAATGAGAAAGTCTACTGAAAGTTTACTGAATCCACATATTCTTTTGATGATGCTACCTATTTTGATTAATCTCTAGATTTGCCCTGTGACATAAACTTACTGAGTGTTACCCCCAGATTCCTTCTTCGTGTCTACTCATCTCATCTAATGATCACCCAAATTCTTATTTCTACTTCCTAAATATGCCTCAAAAGTCTAGTCTTTCTTCCCATGCTTCATTTCTCAGGTCACCTGCTTTTGTATTTCTTTGTTTGTTTGTTTTTCCAATCCGAGTGCTGCACTGTGGCCAGAGGAACCCTATTCGTATCATATCTAGGTCACCCCCTTGCCTAACGTCCTCCCACAGATATAAGGATAGAATGCTATATACTTCTTCTGGCGTACCAAATGTGTCAGAATGGTGCAGCCTCTGCACCATTGAGTTCTTGACACTACCCAGCCTTGTGTCCAACATTTATTTATCTAAGATTGACCAGCCAGTTTGCAGATTAACCAGATTAACAAGGAGGCAGGACTCAAGACCTGCTCATGCCTCCACTGGGACTTGCTATGTAGGCAAGAGCTAAGTAAGGACTAACGGCTGGTTCCCAGGGGGTAGGGGGGCAGAACCCAGCCTGGATCACAGATGCTCTGTTTACAGAACATCCTTCCATAAGGCTTATCCTTCCATAAGGCTCAGCAACATAATGGACTCCTTGCTTCCCAACACCATGGGACCAGTAAATAAGGCTCATCACTTGCCACTACGTAAGCCCCATTGGGCAGTCCCGGGACTCTGTCATGTTTTAAGTAAGGATCACCTACTCTCAGATATTGGAGAGTTGACTCTCGTTTTGTTTTGATTGTGATTTGGGGTTATTCCGACCATCTTGCCTCCATCACCCTATGAATGAGGTGGTGATTGTGCTTGGAATTAGCTGGAAATTTCACTCTCTGGAAGTGACTGTGCATTTGCTCCTGTTCAGTAGTTCTTTGTGGCTGTGATGCATTTTACCTCCCAATTTTTCAGTCCTCTACCCTTCAGCCTGCTCATGCTTTTCTGCCTTTGTTGATCTAGAAAACTCCTGTCAATATTTTGAACCTAGTTCACAGCACATCTCCGTTGAAAGCTCCATCCTCCCCGGAGAATTATTTGTGTCCTCCCCTAAGCTCTTATACTGCCTTGCACATGGCCACCTTCATTCATTGAGCCAATTAATAGTTGTTAAGAGTTTAGTCATTTGAGCCTCCCACTCGTGATTTTGGCTCAGGTCATGACCTCACAGTCATGAGATTGAGTCCTCTGTCAGGCTCCGCACTGGACATGGAACCTGTTTGAGATTCTCTCTCTCCATATCTCTATCTCGCTGTCCTTCCACTGCTCTCTCTCTCTCTCTAAAAAACCCAAATATATAGTTGTGAAGGGTGTACTATGTGCCAGGCACTGTGCCAGGCACTGGGAGTACAATTGTGCATGAGTAGACAAAGTCCCTGCTGTCAGGATACCCACTGACTAGTGGGAATACGATGTCCAACGAACCAGTAAATGCGCCAGATGGTTGTCAATGGAGAGAGTGCTGAGCAGCAAATAAATATGGTGATGAGCTAAAAAGAACCAGGGGAAGCCACTCAGTGAAGCCAGGAAAAACCTTTTTGAGGAAGTAATATTTCAACAGAGGCCTGAAAGGTGAGAAAGAACAAGGCTAGGAAATGGATGGAGGAAGAGCAGGTGCAGAAGGCAGTAGCAAGGACAAAAGGCCAGAGGCAAGAGAGGGCTTGATGGGCCTTGAGTGTTGACAGCAATCAGGAGATTGGGTGGGACAGACCACGTGGGAGCTTGTCAGCCCTAACAGGGATTCTGGGTTCCAGTCTAAAAGCAACAGGAAGACTTGGAAGGGTTTTACACAGAGGAATTGCATGATGTGATTCACCACTTTAAAGTGTTTTTTATTTTTATTTAAAAAAAATTTTTTTTTCAACGTTTATTTATTTTTGGGACAGAGAGAGACAGAGCATGAACGGGCGAGGGGCAGAGAGAGAGGGAGACACAGAATCGGAAACAGGCTCCAGGCTCTGAGCCATCAGCCCAGAGCCTGACGCGGGGCTCGAACTCCCGGACCGCGAGATCGTGACCTGGCTGAAGTCGGATGCTTAACCGACTGCGCCACCCAGGCGCCCCTAAAGTGTTTTTTAAATTAATCAATTATTTAATTACATCCAAGTTAGTTAGCATATAGTGCAATAATGATTTCAGGAGTAGATTCCTTTGCCCCTTACCCATTTAGCCCACCCCCCCTCCCACAATCCCTCCAGCAACCTTCTGTTTGTTCTCCATATTTAAGAGTCTTTTATGTTTTGTCCTGCTCCTTGTTTTTATATTGTTTTTGCTTCCCTTCCCTTATGTTCATCTGTTTTGTCTCTTAAATTCCTCATATGAGTGAAGTCATATGATATTTGTCTTTTTCTGACTAATTTCACTTAGCATAATACCCTCTAGTTCCATCCCTGTAGTTGCAAATGGCAAGATTTCATTCTTTTTGATTGCCGAGTAATACTCCATTGTGTGTGTGTGTGTGTATGTATATGTATATATATACGTATGCATATATACGTAAATACATATACATGTACATATATATATACACATATGCATACATACACATATATATGTACATATATACGTATGTATATATACGTATATATATATATGTATATATATACGTATATATATATATACATACATATACATATATATGAAGCACATTTGAATCTCAACTCAGTCCCCTGGTAACTGTGAGATTTTAACTCTCTAGGGGATTTGTTTGGGTTACTCAAATGGAACACAGAATTTTTTAAATTGGTTTTCAGGATCATTATATAACACATAATGAATCTGCCTGCCATGTACATATATATAGATAGATAGATAGATAGATAGATATACACACACACACACACCACATCTTCTTTATCCATATTCATCCATCAATGGACATTTAGGCTCTTTCCATACTTTGGCGATAAAGGTTTTTTTTAATGTTTATTTTTGAGAGAGAGAGAGACAGAGAGAGTGTAAGTGGGGGAGGACAGAAAGAGAGGGAGACACAGTATCTGAAGCAGGCTCCAGGCTCTGAGCTGTCAGCACAGAACCCGATGTGGGGCTCGAACTCATGGACTGAAAGATACTGACCTGAGCCAAAGTCGGAGGCTTAACTGACTGAGCCACTCTGGTGCCCTCTGATTCACCATTTTAAAACATTACCTGGGTTGCAATGGGAAGCAGGCATAGACAAAAAATAAACACACACACACACACACACACACACACACACACACACACACTCTTTTTTTTTTCTTAAGAGTTGCTCTTACCAAGCCGGTGCCTTGCCCCTGGATAGTGACCATGTGCCTACAAAGGCGTGGAGAGCATCAAGAGCTATTCTGGTGACAGAACCAACAGAATGGGTCTAATAGAAGGAGACGACTCACAGATTACTCCCTAGTGTTTGTCATGAGCAATCAGACAGATGGAGAGGCTTTACTGAGGTATGGAAGATAGGAGAGAAGTATGGCATTGGATAAGACTAGAACTCCGTTGGAGACCTCTAATAAGTTGGAGACTCCTATTACTGGGCCAAGCTGTCTGTCTTCTGCCAGACCGTGGTGTCTCTCCAGTGTTGAGCTCAGTGCTTGACACGTAGCGGGTGCTCAAAAAGTATTTGTTGAATGGGGAGTCTAAATGAAATGCTTAAAAGCTACAGATGACTAATGGCTTCTAGAACAACAGACGATCCAAAGTCTGTAGCAGTGGCTAATTAAACCATTCCCATCTGATGTCCAAAATATTGTATGCTAGAGCCCCCCCCCTTCTCTCCCCATTAATTGAACAGGCCCTGTCT